ATGACGATGCCGAAACATATGTTTAGACCAAACAACGCAGTCTGAGTTGTGACATTAAGCAATGTCACAACTCAGACTGCGACATTAAGCAATGTCACAACTCAGACTGCGGCATTAAGCATTAAGCATTAGACTGTTACATTAAAGGGGCACTGAGGCATCAAAATCATATTTTATTTTATTATCCGAAACGATTGAAAACGATGCCGGGACATTACCCTCAAGATTCGAAACTTGGGAATTCAGTATTTCTGAATTAAAAAAACAATTTCCAAATGCCGAATTTGAAGTTCCCGCGTGATCCGCGCCAGTGCAGTGAGTCAAATTTTGCGGTCTCCTGCGACTCGACTTTCCTTGGGACCTCCGCCGTTGCCACAGCAACCCGAGGCGAGGAGGAGGTGAGCAGGCGGGATAGAAGCTGGCACGGGAAAAAACCGGTTTCCTCCCCGTCTCGCCGATAGCGCCGCCAAGCTTGCGAGGGAGGATAAAAATCCAGGAAGCGACATCACACCGAAATCTGATTTTTTGTATTTCAAAAAGAGGGGCCGTAGTACGTTCGCAATTGCGTTAAAAAACATGTTTTACGATTGCCGTTATTAAAAGGTATAGAAATGTCGCCTACAAAGCTTCTAAACTTCCTGATTTTTGACGTCACCGATCAAAAGAAGCAAGGAGGTGAGCGCGGGAAATATTACCGCCAAAAATAAAAAGGCGCGCGCGCGCTCGGGGAAATTTTTTTTCGCGATGCGTTCTTTTTTGCGTGTCTATGACTACAACTTGCATCGTTTTAGACAATAAAAAATAATACGACCTTTGGGGTGTCAGTGCCCCTTTAAGCAAAGGTATACAGCAGGTTACGATACAGCTTGACTCTCTCGTGCCTTCATTCACGGCCATCTTCCTTTCCTTCCTTCCCTCTTCTTCTTCTAACAATGTGTATATCATAACATATTCCTCCCTCTTGTCTTCGTTTATTTAGGGCTGTTTTGTTTTTGTCAGTCAGAAGCAAAGTCGTCCACATCGCCAGTTTAGTTTTAAAAAAATGTTCTCGCCGTCTTGGCGTTTCCGCGTGTTAGCGTCCCGCTTGTTGTGAGACGCTCCAAAACGATTCCAGAATGCGTTGCGATGCTCACGCAATCTAGGCAGTGCTGCATGCATCCACTAGTGATGGGGGGGGGGGGGGGTGGAGGGGGGGGGGAGCAGGTTTTATTTTTTATGTGGTATCATATCGGCGGAACGTGAAGTTAACGTGTTTTGCAAACGTCATCTCTAGCTTTAACAGTGCTATTTTTCGTTTTCACGTTTCCCCAAGAACTACGTGCTTCTTTATTTTCCCCTCATTTCTTGCGCTTTCTTCCTCTACATATGTATACTTGCAGGAAACAGTTTTTAGAGATAGCAGGGCCGGATGGGTAAATGTTTTCAGGTAACTAACATTGCTCGGTGACCTGACAACACGGCGTTCTTCAACTTATCGTTTATTTATTCATTCATTTCTTTTTTTGCTTTACCTTCAGGGCCCGAAGACATTACAGAGGGGGAGAGAAAAGTTGGGATCAAAACAATGCAATATTTAGTTATGCACACTCAACAACAAAAAAATATCGGTAAGAGCAGACCTAAAATGAACAATGTCAGTTATAGATGCAATTGGTCTGGTAAGGTGGTTCCAGTCGAGGGATGTGCGAAAAGGGAAAGAAGATTGGAACGTAAACGTGATAGCGATAAGTACCTGAACTTTTTACTGATGATCATGACGACCAGATATATAAAAAGGACGGGGGATTAATTTGTCGCGAAGCATAAAATTCGTGAAATAAAGACAGATTACGTCGCAGGAAGAGGGACGGTAGTGACAAAGTTTATTTCATAGAAGTGACGCTGGGTGAATAATAATAATTCGAAAAAATAAAAAAGCGGATCCATTTTGAATGGCTTTCAACGCGGCGATTAGAGTGGCTTGTCAGGGATACCAGACAGAGGCTGCATATTCTAACTTCGGTCGAACTAGAGTTTTATAAAGAATTATCTTGACGGAAACAGATGCTAATGAAACGTTGCACCTCAGGTAGCCTATTATACGGTTAGCATTAGATGTGATATACTGAAAATATGCTTTTATGAAAGTTTAGAAGTTATATGTACACCTAAATATTTGTACGAATATACCGTGTCAATTAGAGCCTGATTAAGAAAGTAGTTGCGAGTTTCATGTGACTGGCGAAATACACGCATGGACTTACATTTATTAGTATTAAGCTTCATCGACCATACGTCACACCACTGGTAGATAGCGTTAATGTCAGACTGAAGCATGATATTGTCATGATCATTAAGTATCTCACTGTAAATCGCACTGTCGTCAGCAAAGAAACAAATATACGAGGAAACGTTAAAAGGGAGGTCGTTAATATATATTTAAAAAAGTAAAAGTCCTAAAACAGATGCTTAGGGAACCCCAGAGGCCACGGACGAAAAGGAAGAGTTACTATTATTTACTGTAACAAATTGTAACTGCAGTGACAGAAAAGTTTGAATCCATGCAAGAATGTTAACATCTTTGTTAAGCTTGGACAGTTTTAGAAGAAATACGGTATGAGATACTTTATCGAACGCTTTGGAGAAACCTAGGAAAATGCAGTCCGCTTGGAGGCCTCGGTCGAGGATGCAGTGAAGGTCATGTGTGAATGATTAACCCTGTGTCCAGCATGAAATTTTTTTTCAATATTCAGGTTGGGATGGGCAGAATAAGTTGTTAAATTCTAAGAAATTGACAAGGCGCAAAAATACCATATGCTCAAGGAATTTGCAACGAACACTGGTGTTTGAGATTGGGCGATAATTTAAAGGGCAAAGTTTGTCGCCAGTCTGGTAAATGGGAACCACCTTATCCACCTTCCAATATAAAGGAAAAACACGATTTCTAATGGACTGATCAAAAAGTTCAAGCTAAATAATAGAATAATAGTGCTTAGTATTTTTCAAAAAGTTCGAACACCTACCACTCCCGCTGAAGACGACAATCTGAATGTTTCTATGACATAATGGAAACCAGCCAATCAAGCAAGATGGGGTTCATCGGCAAATAGTCTTAAATGTCTAAAAGAAGACACTCCGCGCAGCTGTTACTAAAAATGAATCAACCAAAACTCGGTTCAATAAATTCGCTCGCTCTTAAATTGGCCTAGCATCCCCACTTTCGTTTTTTAGACTAACCGAAAAATCTGTTCTTTTTTCCCTTTGGTGCATGATGTTCCAGAACCTTTTAGGGTTCTTGATTAATATAACGGTTAGGGTGCGCTTAAAAAACTTTAACTTGGCTTCAATTATTTTCTCTTTTTATATCTCGGCTGCACTGCGGTATGTGGACCACCACCGTTTACATGTAGTAAATTTGGCTGCTCGAGATAAGTGCTTCTTTTTATTTGAGAGACGTTTGAGCGCTCTGTTACCCACGGAGACTGGGAATCTTCGAGTACAGTCCTAAGGGGAATATGAAAGTTAGTAAGTGATTCTACTTCATTCTTAAACATTTGCCAATTTTCTTCCATTGAACGGTCTGAGAATCTCTCTAGAAATATATCAATAGACGTTGTAGATCATTGTTGATTTTGACGAAGTTAGCTTTTGCATGATCCCGATTTTGTTTTACGTGACTTGATGATTTCGGTACTGCAGCTTTAACATAAAAATGTAGTATACAATGATCATTAAGCCCTGAAAGATATGATATGGTGGAGACTAGGTAAGGGTGATTCAACAGGACGAGATCTGATATGTTTGCAGATTACGGGGTTAACCTAGTTGGTTGAGTAACCAACTGAAGGAGATTAGAATCTAAACAAAGGTTCACAAAGTGATTGTACTTCAATGATTATGCAGTTATGGATAGATTACACTCTGTCCACACGATAGAAGGAAAATTGAAGTCACCCAACAGAATAATCGGTGAACTGGGAAACGCTTAACTAGGTTGTTTAGAGAGTCATGGAAAGTTTTAACAAACATAGATGAGCATGACGGTGGTCTATAGCATACTCACATAATCCACCTCTTGTGGTGAGAACCTATAAAGACCCAAAGTATTTCTAAACCACCTGTCGCGTTAACGCAAAAATATTCAGTATGAGTATCCACTGCAATTAAAGCACCCCCACCGCACCCATCTTGCCTGTCATTTCTGTAGATATCATATTTCTTGGGCCAATCAAAACGTTCACAGTCACGCACTTTCCCAGACAGCCAAGTGTCGGTTACAATAATATCCGCATGTGTAGAGTCAATAACTGAACACAAGTCGTCTCGTTTTTGTTTTTTTTAAATAATGTTTCTAATATTAGTAAAAGTACCAACACATTTGAGACACGATAAAGACATACTCTTCCCATCGGTGACTGCTTTTCCGAATTCAGCGTTCGAGGCGTGTCCCCAGCTGAAGGCAAACGTTGTGTCCCGAAAATTACAGGTAAGACGGAGATACCGGTTTCGAGAACGTTATTATTATCTTTTGTTGTTGTTGTTTTTTTCGAGCTTTTATCCTTCCAGCCTCATGCATGTTTATTCTTGATCTAAATGTTCCGCTGTTAGTTGATGTTGAAGCAATTCAAATTAAAATGGTAAAAAGGTAAAGGCTACATTTTGTTAATATTACCAGTACGCTCAAGCTGGATAAATCCTCCACTGGCTACCATAAAAAAGAAAAAACTTTTTCTTCCAAGAATTTGCGTCACTTTAGAATCCCGGAAAAGGAACGTAATCACACCTTGGCGTCAGTGTCTGGTTGACATTTCTGCTGGCATTACACGTAACAAAGCAGTTGTTGTAAAGTAATAAAGTGAAAGGTCTTCCTAGTCACCTTTCATTTTTTTTCTTTCTGAATGAAAAACAAGGAGTGGGAAGCTTTTTTTTTTTTTTTTCCTTAATGGTGCGTCAACCAGTAGAAGCTCTTCTATAAAAAAGTGAGTTCTTTCTAATCTTCACCAAGCTCTGCGAACCTAAGGAACAGTGTCTGCGCTGTTACGAAAGGAAACAGCACCAGAGATGCGGGCTGCTGCTCTCACATGTGCGCTAGGTATGACATCTTTCGTTTGATCTCATCTAGGGTACACTTTGTAGATCGTAGGTAAGCAACATATTTCTTGAATTAAGTAAACCTAGGAATAACGATGCGGAAATTCATCTGATGAAGGCGTGTCCTTTTGTTAGGTAAATTGTACAAATTCCTAAATCGAGAGAGATCTGCTTATTGTGCTCAGTGATATTTAACCGAGATTAAAGCTAGTGTAACAAGGCTTCTTCTGGGGCTAGATACGATGATTCTGAAGAAACTTGTAAGCGCAACAGAGACGGACAAAAGTAAGGGTACGCGGATAAATGCATTTCCGTCTTATCTTGCGCCTAATAATTTCTTGAGAACCGAGAGTGTGTTTTGAAATAAGCACCGATATATATATACATATATATATATATATATATATATATATATATATATATATATATATATATATATATATATTTATACATCACTAACACATGCTGGGAAGTGAAGATAGGACATGTAAGTCATTTATCACATTATCTCAAAAATGGGGTTTAATTTACAGTAGATAAAAACGACCTCTAGTTTCCCTCGTGTTTGCCTGAGCCTTCTAACTGTTCTATTTCAGCCGGCCTCTTCATTGTGGAAGAGGCAAGCTCGAAGTGCCCTGATATTGAAAGGCGCCCACAGGTGAGAGTGTACTTCAATGAAGGGGGAACATTCGGAGGCAATATATATATTATCTTTCATATAGGTTTAAAACATAAACAGAAGTAGTTCTAATATGATTCGTTAGTAACCTCTTAGGTAGAACAACACAAAAAAACACATTTGTCGTTAGCACTTTCCTTCTTTTTTTATTACAGTGCCCGTGTTAGCTTTTTCTTAAAAAATAAAAAAAAATTACAGATAAACTAAACTACTTCAACGACAAATGAACTGGTGAATGATTGTATATTGTCACGGATGGAATATTTTAGACGAATGCAGGACTGAAAACCAACATTTCTTGAGGCGAACTTGAGCCTGAAACTAAAGACAATAACCGTACCTCCTGAGACGGCAATAGGAGGGTGACTGTCCCGAAGCTGCGCTTTACGTATGCTTTTACATGCGCGATGCGCTTAGAAATGCCTCGAAGGAGAACAAACGAGGACAGCAGAGAATGCGCTGAACCATTCCAGAAGAACAAAAATTGAAAAAAAGGAAAAGCAGTTCACACAGGTTTTAATTTTAGTTCGTCAGCATGATAATATCGTGCACTGCAAATTCCGCCACGCATGGGCCAATATTGGAAAGCTAGTTAAACTATTACTGCTGATTCTATTAGTATGATGAATTTGTCAAATTTATATTTTTAAAAGCACACCCGCAAAGATACAATAAAGACGATTTGGAAGTTCCACGTGATAATTGAGATAGGCGCGAGGCATATCGGAAGCAATGGTAACCACACTTTAAGCATTGCGGACTCTTGCGGGTCGCACAAATCACGTAAACAGCTCCAATAGCAATCGTAATGGTGGTGACACCACGAGGCTGCGGGAGAAACGGATTTCACGTGATGTAATACACGACAGTCATCTGCGGCTTGTCAGGGCATTGCTGGAAAGAAACGACACTCTCTCGTTTTCTTTCTTGATCGTGAGTTATTTTAAAATATTAAATGCTCTACTTCAGTAACAATGGAAAGTGTATATCTCGAATAAAAATGGTTTATCAGACGAAAATAAATTAGCATAATTATAACTAAACGCCTGCTCGTTTTTAGTTAGAAGCAGCCCCTGTGTTCTCAATGCAGTGTTTGGAAGAAAAACTATGCGAAAACACAAGACAGCCGAAGAGATTAAAAAAGTTTCATTTTATATGACGTCTCGTACTCACTTCGCGGACGAGCATCTTCTCTTCTATAACTGTGGTATAACACGTGTCGCCTTTCTTCGGGCATCAAATTGCTAAACGGGAGCTCGGACTCACTCCCGAGTACGACGTTGTCGTTCACCTTCCTTTGAATGTTGACGATGTCGACAAACGAAATGTTCGCCCCCATAAAGCGCCGCTCCACCACAGCTCACCACGCCAACCGCGTTTATAAAAGCTGCTGGAACCGACAGATCACTGTTCACGTCGCTTCCCTCTTCGGAGGCCAGGAAAACAAAAAGAAATCAGAAAGTTAGTTCCTGTTTTTGACAGTGTCTTTTCAGACAAAGTAATAAGCGTTTCAAAAATCTAAAAGAGAGCGGCAAGTTAAATCCAACAATTCGAAAAAACACGTTTAGAAAATTTAAAATCGTGTTCATTGAGCCGTTACAAAAACAATATTATGAAATCGCTCCGTCTGCTTTTCACCCGACGTTCATGAGCCGCACGAATATACCACCAAAAATGTTTGCGTAAGTTATAAGTAATTGCAATTTCCAAGATACCAGTTGCACTTGCAGTCAATATTTCTTTCATGCAAAATCATTAACTGTCCGATGCAGTGAGCCGACCTCATCAGCCACGCCAAACGGCAAATAATTTCGTGAAGCAGCGATCTGAGGCATCGCAGCTTTGAAGCCACGGAAAAAGCCGAGCAAAACGGCAAGTAAATGAAGCCGAACGAGGCCGCCGCATGTCAGTTTCAATCAGCGCCACCCCATGGCGCTGCGTGCCCGCGCGGCAGCCGACTTTTGCAGCCGATTCCACGCCGCCGACATCGCGGCGGTACGACCGATGTCAGCGAGGTGCACCAACTTCACGAGGACGCGTGCAAGAACGACATTTATGCTTTCGCATTCACAACTCAAAAGTGCTTAGGTGTACCTCGAGCCTTTTTGTTTTTGTCATTGCCGCCATATTCTGAAAGTTCTACATGCCAGGACTGCCATTCAACTCCCTCTACGCCGTAAAATCTACCATGACGAGCGACGATGAACAAAGTGCGAATAGGCTGCAAAGGAAGTCCGCATGCCGAGGCTTTCTCCAGGAGCTCAGGACTCGTCAGACGGAAAGTTGGCGCGGAAAGTTCGGGGAGCGCGCCAAGGACGCCGGCGACAAAAGTGCGGCGTCATCGTCGAAAGAGCTCAATTGGTCCTCTTCATGCCTTTGTCCTCAGTTTTGCCTTTACCGATTCTGGGAAATATCGCTTATAAGACAAGATCTGCGCCCCCCCTCCCCCCACCCCAAAACGTCATCACTAGGGGATCCAAGCAGCGCGGCCTATCTTGCGTCAGCGTCGCCGCCAGCGCGTCTCGCAGCGTCTGACAGCGAGCGCCACGCTAGCACGCGGCGACGCCAAGACGGACGCGTCTGCCGCTTTGCGGCGACGCTCGTCAAGCTTCAATGTGTTTGCCGCATGGGGCGGGTCAATCGGTGGATCCGCTAACAATGACGTCATGCACAGGCCTTGTTTTGTACGTGGTATTTGTCTAGGTCCCCTGCACTGCGAATGCTGTGGATGACGCGGCGCATATTCTATTCGAACCACTATTCGGCCACCCAGAGTAAAAGCGTTTTAATTTGTCACTCGTAAACTGCATAGAGCGGATTCCCAGCGGCCATTTTAACATTGATCTTCCTTTGCCTTTGCCACCTCTCTGCTCGTTTAAGCATCTATATTTCAGTGTAATCGCCTTACCACGTCATATATCGCGATGCCCTAAGACACCGCACGCAACGACGTCATATGAAATGGCCACCCTATGCCATGGGCATACCCGTAGTAAAAGGACTTAGAATAAAACGGAGAAACATTAAAAACTTTGGGGTTCGAATGTTGCGTATCTTACATAAGCATGATTATCCAAGTGTTTCACACGTATACTTGCACGCAACGGCACTGAGCGAAAAATGTTTTAAATTGGTCTACTTTCGAGTTTAGAAAATAAATCGCGATGTTAACACAGTAGTGATGATCGCTTTGGTGCCGTAATCTAGACAGCGAGACGAAGCGGGGCCCAGGAATCGGGAGGTCGCCGTCTGCTGCGACTGCCCAGTGGTGTGGAGTTGGCCAATCTCAGCAGACGGCGATGTCCCGGTTCCCCGCCCCGCATTGTTCAGCCGTGTCGATGAAAGCCCCTGATGTGACGATGGGCAAGCACGGACCAATAGCTTCATTTCCGCGAAGAATATCGAAACGCATGACACGATCTTGTTTTCGAAATTACAAATCAAGTCCTTGTTTTTGTGTGTCTGTGTCAAAATACAACAATGAATAACTTAACCGCCCCCAATGACACTTTATGATTATTTTTATTCGATCGTACTCAACTGTATATTTTAATTTTCTCTTGCTTTTGTTTGTCATTCTCGCTTTTGTTTGTTTCTAAACTCCTGGGCGTTAGGCCCAGGAGTCTACACAGGCTGGCTGCTCAATATTGAAAAAGAGATTGCTTCTTGAGCAATTATGTTGAAAGAAATTGTAGTTTATTGCCATACATAAAACACATGAGGGTACTACTGAACTCATACGAGTGCGCTGGGCTACCAGTTAAACATTATATATACGGAAAAGTCCGGACACGAGAGAGCAAAAACGAGAGAAGTAGAGCCCACCTTCGGACCGTGGTGTCGAATGCAGCAGTTGTTATTTGAGCTGTTTTGAGCTGTTTTTTTTTTTTTCTTGTTTTTGTTCTCTCGCTTTCGGGTTTTTACAATGACAGTCCAATACACGTCTAATGTTGAATATAAATTGTGTGATATTTTCTGAAATTATAATTATGCTTTTTCTTTCCTCGCTAATTTTCAACTCAAAAAAATTATGTTACGGAAAAAAAGATTATTCGTTTTCTAGGATACGAACTGCAACTACTACTGCCGCAACCAAGCTGACGACGGCTGGGAAGAAGGTTTTCTGTTGGACGGACAAATGTGTAACGTACGGCACCTTTCTTGGAGTTATGCGTTTTATGTTGGAATCTTGGTTGGTCCGCAATAACTCATCAGCTTGTGATAAAAACCGTGAACATCTCCCCAAAGCTTACGCAGATATTTCCGATAAATGGCCCTGCGTTAGAATAGATCCATACTTTTTCTTTCTAGCTAATGGTGACGCCTCCCACATATGGGAGCCCAAAAGTCTAATGTTTTGCCTTCCTTCTGTCAACTCGCCGTACTCAAAATGTGGCCGAAAAGGTTGTTTTGAAAAGAGTTGACAGGACACGACATGCATGGGTACATGCATGTTTAGGAGTTTTTCTTTAATGAAGTTGGTGCTGCAATAACAAGAATAATTACTGAATAGTACAACCAAGCTATACCGCTCGTTCGAGTGCCAATCACGGCCACCGTCGCGTGCGCGCGCGTGCGTGTGTGCGCGTGTGTGCGCGTGTGTGCGCGTGGGTGCGCGTGGGTGCGCGTGTGGTTGTGTGTGTGCGCGCGCGTGTGTGTGTGCCTGTGTGTGTGTGTGTATGTGTGTGTGTGCGTGTGTGTTTGTGTGCGCGCGCGTGTGTGTGTGTGTGTCTGTGTGCATTTGCGTGCTTGTGTATGTGTGCGTGTGCGTGTGTGTGTGTGCTTGTGTGCGTGTGTGTGCCTGTGTGTGTGCGTGTGTGTGTGTGTTTGTGCGTTTGTGTGTGTGTGTTTCTTACTTTTACTCTAGAACAGATTGACTAAAGAAGCTAAAATCTTGACATTTACTAAACAAATGTACGGGCGTTTTCGCCCTGCTACAAGGCAGACTTGTACCGTACGCATTACAAGTAATCAAATTACTTGTAATTGATTAATTTTTGGAGTAATTTTGTAATCAGTTGATTACTTTTATTAGGCAGTAATCACAAGAGTAATTTGATTACTTTGTGAAGTAATAAAATTACTTGTAACCGTTACAATTTGTCCACGGAGCCCCCCCCCCCCTCCCCCGGCACACGCCTTTTTTCATGAAATGACAAAAATAAAATTTGCTTTTCTTTTTTTTCGAACGGAAAAAAAGAGATTTTTGCGGAGCTGTAGGAAACGAGGTCAATCTCTTTCTATGTACAGTTTCTGTGAATTTCCGGTTTTTTTTTTGTCTTTTTTTTCGAGCTAGGACTGGGAGTGGGAAGCCCCAGGGAAGCCACAGTGCGTGACAAAGGCCATTCAGGGCGAAGTTTGAGGAAGCAGAATGTAGCTTTGTGAGTCCTTCGTTCAAACTAGCCCCCTCACGCACACACACACAGAAATAAAAAAAAAATAGAAAAAATCCTGCTTAGGGTACCTACTCGCAGCCCGTAGGAGAACCAGAACCGAAGAATGCCTAAAGCGGATGCAAAATATAACAAAGGCAGTCGAAATATTTCCCCATTTCCCCTACGTGGTCTTTGTGACAAGCAATGTATCGAGTTGAGAAGTGGTCGGGGCGATCTCTTCCACTAATGGATACTACACATGATCCGTTTCAAATCCTGGAGCTGCTGCTCTTTTGTATAACATGCGAGCTCATCCACATGTGAATAATAAAATGAGCGACGCAAACTTTGAGCGACAACCCTTGCTCAAGCTTAACAAGATCTAGAGCCCCCTCCGCTTCCCCCCCCCCCCCCCCACACACACACACTGGCGAACGCCCAAATCATTAAACGTCTTCAAACGAATTCTATGCTTGTGTTCGCATTGTGAAGGTGCAACGACCACGAAGAAGGAGCCAGTTTTTCTTCTTAAATACTTGTGCAAATGTGAAATACAGGTTGGAAGTAGTTCATTGTTATGAGCGCTAAAGATGTGTCTTCACACAATAAAGTAATCGGAAAAGTAACGATTACTTCTTTAAGTAACGTCCAATTACTTTTGCCGTCGAGTAACCAAGTAATCTAATCGAATACTTTTTAGCCAAGAGTAATAGTAATTGTAATCGATTACTTTTTTTTAGTAACGTGTACAAGACTGCTACAAGGTCACGAGTTTTCACGTTTCGTTTAAGGAAGGCAGTTGCGCAACGCGAAGTGATCATTTCGAGAGTAACTTTTCAATGTAAATGATGCTGAAGGGTTTACATTTCTGAACTTTGGAGGTTAAAATGACAAAATATTGAAAGACACAATGCATATAAGTTCTTGGTCTATCTGTTTAATCGAGACAAAATGGCAATTAAGATTTTCTTCCGAAAAAAAAATGTATTCGTCCTTTTATTACAAGCCCCAGTTCATGCGCTCCCTGACTGATGCTAATTATTACAGTATGTAAGGCATATCATTAATACGATTACTTATTCAAACCCCGTTTTTGTGGCATTAGATACATATGCGTCTGGCTGACTGTATTCTGTCGCAAGCCTAGCTACCAAAGTGGGAAGCACAAACGATAACTTGCGTTATTATTCTACATTATGTCGATTTATAATCCGTTTTTAGACCAGGCAGGTGCATAGACTAAAATTATTAATATGATTCGTTTGAAAGTTTAGTTACCTCTCTTCACTGATTTGGCTTCATTTATTAGTTCTTTACATTTAGATTTATTTTTAGCGATATTTTGATCGTTGGTTGACCTTAATAAAGCTTGTCGCCTCGACGGTTCTTTTTACCAATCCCACTTTGTATTCATAAGAAGTACACCTCCCTGAAAATCAAATTAGTGTTTTAATGCCAAGAGTTCATGCATGCTGTAGAACTTATACTATAGAAAAATTAAAAAAAAAAAAAACTAATGCACAGGGGTGTGCTTTCCAGTGCTGGCTGTCTATTAAGCCAATTTCTTCAAAATATTAGCCCATGCATGATGGAGACATTCCCGAGCAAAATGCAAAAAGCGACCGTAGATGAATCATTGCTATGCTTTTAGCGAACGCAAGCACAATATAAAGCACATGTATTTTTTAAACATGAACATGGTATGCTACCGGTTTCATGTTACAGCCGAATAACTATACCAAACCGTAAAAAAAGTGAAAGCCGCTTACAACTCCCTGTAACGCCGAATTGGAGCGCAGCTCTTGAGGAGGAGGAGGGAAGGGCGCTGGGGGGGGGGGGGGTTAGACTAACCAGGGGGGGGTTACGTGACCTTGGGGGGTCACCTGACCCCCAATGCCGATGATGTCATCACTGACGTCACTGATGACGTCATTAGTGACGTCACTGATGACTTCACCAGTGATGATGACGATGACGATGCGAATGTCGGTGACGTCATCAGTGACGTCGCTGACGACGTCATCAGTGATGATGACGATGACGATGCGGATGCCGGTGACGACATCAATGACGTCACTGATTTCGTCATCAGTGATGATGACGATGACGATGCGGATGTCGGTAACGTCACCGGCATCCTCATCGTCATCGTTATCATCACCGATAACGTCACCGGCATCCACATCGTCATCGTCATCATCACTGATGACGTCACCGGCATCCACATCGTCATCATCACTGATGACGTCACCGGCATCCGCATCGTCATCGTCATCATCACTGATGACGTCATCACTGATGACGTCACCGGCATCCACATCGTCATCATCACTGATGACGTCACCGGCATCCACATCGTCATCGTCATCACTGATGATGACGATGACGATGTGGATGCCGGTGACGTGATCAGTGTCGATGACGTCATCGGGGGTCACGCGACATCGGCGGGGGTCACGTGACCTCGGGGGTCACGTGACCTCGAGGAGGGGGTCACGTGACCTCAGGGGAGTCACGTGACCTCGAGGAGGGGCCACGTGACCTCAGGGGAGTCACGTGACCTCGAGGAGGGGGTCACGTGACCTCAGGGGAGTCACGTGACTTCGGGGGGTCACGTGACCTCGGGGGGGTCACGTGCCTCCCCACGAAGTCACGTGACCCCGGTGGGGGGCTCGCGCGGTGCATTATGGGATATTTCCCATGATGCACCGCGCGGTTACGCCGACGGCGACGGCGACGGCGACGGCGACGGCGACGCCGCTCAAGCCGGAAACGGGCCCCTAAGAGCTGCGCTCTAAAACGTTTTAACTCTGTTAGATCAACAATGTGGTAGTCATACTCAACTTATCATACTTATCATAACTATTTCGTGGTTTGTCCTATTACTATTCATCTCAACCGAAGGAGAAGCTATGCATTCTTTCTTGCTAAAAATTGAAAGGTGGATTACATACTTGTGGCGTCTTATAAAACTACTTTGTTTCAAAAACTTGATTTTTTATTTGCAGTATGCAGCAGAAAATGATGGGGTGTGTCAAGAGGGAATCTGCTATAAAGCGACCGTTCCAAGTCCGACAGAACCTTCCCATCCGGTCGACGATCCTGATGACCCCTCAGACGGAGATCCTGCGACACCGAAGCCTCCAAAAAAGAAGAAAAAGAAGTCCCCCAAAACGAAAACCAAGAAACCTAAGAAGAGCAAGGACAAAAATCCAAAAAAGTCAAAGAAGCCAAAAAAGAATCCAAAAGACGACACTGGAGATGATGGACCGGGCTTCGATTGGACCCAATAATTTTATTGACATTTTTCCCGTGATTACTACGCCGATTAAAAGAATAAAAATTGCATGAAAGGACATAAAATTACAGAAATATAATGAGCAACCTGCTTTTTTTGTGTGTGTGTGGGGGGGGGGGGGGGAGAGAGAAAACGGCGCCCATATTTCAAAACAGGCTTGCTCACACCTTATTGGCCTGAATAAAAACAGCGCACATATACCGAAGACAAAGAAGGTGTAGACGGGACCTCTACACCTTTCTCGTCTTAGTTATTTGCGCGTAGTTTCCAGTTGTACCATAAACCAACTCGCCTGCATCGTGTACTTTGCCCTATTGGCATATCTGGATCAATAACCTAATCATTAAAAAGCCTTATTGAACGGAAAAAGAAGTATTAACAATACACTAAAAGGTGTGAAACTATTCGGAAGCCAGCTCAGGCAATATCGACAAATTTCGCCAGCTCATTTTAGTAATATGTTACTTACGATTTTACTCCAGAGGTCTTTAAAGAAATGGCCTTTGGTTTATATTAAACAGGCTCACACTTAGGAGACAATTTTAAAAAAGCATGTCACTAATTGCTCAATTAAGATGCTACCCGGATCCTTTTAGAAAGGTTCTTTAGCCATTACAAAAATATCGCTTGACGCTGTTCTGTTGCCGTTTGAAAAGCGAGTCCGTGAAACATTGGAACGATTCACACCTAGAAACAATCGAGGGATGCGACATCGGCTCAACAATACTCGCACGCGTGTAATCAATTTTCTAAGAACAAGTATTAATTCGCGCTTCTTTTCTTGAATGCTACGCATGACGGAAGCGTTTAAAAACCGTTTCTGGATGCCTCCAGTCGTAAAATGACTGTAATCACTGAGGGCTTAATAAACGCGAGGCGCGGCTGGTCCCCGACACTCCGCAGACAGTTACACCACGGCATCAGTCGGTTAGAACGCCGAAGTACGAACCAAGAAGCAGGAATTTCGATTATAATGGGCCCAACCCCGCTCGCTGTTCTTGAAGTCCCCCAAACATATGGTGACGCATAAAACAATCCACAACCAAGGCCTGAGTAGGCTGCCAGACGCTAACTCGCAAGTATTTGGACATGCAAAATTAAACTTACACTGGATACACTGACGGCTTCAAAAAAAACGTGGGGCACGGATTATTATGTTCCCGCATCTGGCTTCGTTCTTCGACGGTTTTATTGGCTAATTGCACGATCGGATAGGCTGGCGAACAAAATAAGACGCTCAAAATTCGCCGCGCCTCACGTTTTTTAAGTTTTCGGTGATTATGCTGTGTCACACTGCTCCGGCTTTGGGGCATGTGTTACTCGGGCTTTAGAAAGTGCGACGGTAGACCAACTTTGCGACAACGACAGTTTTCCAACGAGTCCAATCGTACCTGGTTCAAAATTCTCATAGGAAACGAATACTAAAACAAAAGGAAACGCCCATGCTAAAGACACTTTTCATTTCACAAATTTCTACCTCTATAGGGTGTCCCAAGTCGCCAGGCTCGATCTAAAATGGACCGTAACAATCGACGCCTGCGCGTAAGAATCTAATCCTTCCGTCAGAGCTGTATTTCACAGGTCCTTTTTTATTCTTTTTCTTGTAAAATTGCAAAGCGTAGCTTTCTGTAAAAAATAGGGCCAAGAAACATGCGACGCTAATCACAGGGGGGGGGGGGGGGGGCGACGCAGACGACCAACTCGAGTTGCGGGGTGCGTTTAGCGCGCGTATTGATAGATGGCGTCGGGAGCGCATCCCAAGGTGTAGCCGACCAGCGAAAGAAAGCAGACGACACGCAGACGAAGTCCGTTGGCAGCAAAAGTGCCGCCATTATGCAAACGGTTTTTTTATACACCTTTTAAGTTTTGGATTTATTGTCCGCATTTATTCTTAACCAAAGGTACATTACAGGAAGATTACGTTCATTTGAATATACCGTGGTGGTCGCGAGCAGTCTTTTTAAGGAGGTAGCGCCATCTATCAATACGAGCGCCAAGCCCGCCCCGTTATTCAACCTGGTCGTCTGCGTAGCCGCCCAACGTTGACCCTGGCAGGTTTCTTGGCCGTCTTTGTTATAGAGAGAAAGCTACGCTTTGTAATTTTACAAGAAAAAACCGACCTGTGAAATACACCTTTGACGAAAAGTGTAGATTGCGACCTGCAGGCGTCGATTTTTACGGTTCATTTTAGATCAAGTATGATGACTTGTGACGTCATATACATAGCGCGAAAAACCTAATATTTGGAGGCGACGACTGTTACAATCTAAGTTCATAAAAATTACTAAATACCAAGCTTTGAACGTTCATAAAACAGCGTATCCAGGACCCTCAACCTATAAAGAGCAATCATTTATCGCACATACATTACATAAAGGGTATTTATTTTGTTGTCTTCGAGACTTTTCGGCGCTAACGCACTTGGTTCAAAGACGCGCAGTGCACTCATTTGGTGAGATATTCTATCGAAAATTCCGAATTCGGCGCATTTTAGATCGCCAAATTTGACTTATTATTTAGTGTAAAGCTAGGGGCCGACACACACCTCATGGGTGTAGGCATCTTCGTCACGTAAATAGTCGTTATGGAGCCGCTGGTAACAAGGCGCCTGGTCACACAGAATAATTTTTATATATGAACTTCACTAGGCGTATTCAATACATAGAAGCGCATGCTGGTGGCACTTGCACTTTGTTGCAAGTAAAGTCAGTGTGTTTTCAATATTATTTTCTCATATTCACTCTGCTTAAACCAAATAGAATAAAGAACCAAACGAGTCATGGTTGCACTTGAAAACGAAACCTTTATTGAGGCAGAATACCACTAGGATAAAATACAAATATATGTGTTTCTGCTCTCAAAGCTTCTAGACAACTGTCACTATGATAGTTCTTTACAGTGACCCAAAGGCGTTTATTTCAGTCGGCGCGATTTCTAAAAAACCTTTTAAATAACGTGCCATCCTCTGAGTGAGATTAATCTCCGCCAAAGTCTTTTTCTCTCCGTGCAGGTCAGGAGTATTCACATGTTTGGAGAGCTACAGCCAACCATTGCTCGTAGAGAGAAAATATAATTAAAAACACGGGCACTATATAAGCGTACACCCTATTAAACAGCCACAGAATAATAATTTCAACCAATATAAGTAGCAAAATGCACTGACCCTCGAATAACGTATTTTATAACAGTCTGTATTCTAAAAATCTAAGATACATTGCAGTCTCATTTTAAAAATTCGCTGCAGTCCACGGTGCCAGGTCTTGACGGAGTTATCGGTCCTTGGCACTACCGCCAATGTCCCTTCCCTGACAGACCAATCTGTTGGAGGTAAGATGGCCGACGACAAACCGTTTCGATCGGCCTTCTGATGAAGACGTCCTAGAAGTAGTCTTTCACGCTTCCGGCATCCATAGAGAAAATCTCGAGCAGGTCCTGGAAAAGCTCAGAAATGTCGGCAATTGTCAAGAGGGCAAATGCCGGCAACATATGCATCTGAAAGTGTGCTAGAAGTAAAAACATTTTTACTTTTGTTCGAGGCCAAGAGTAACAACTCAAAGAAAAATGAATGCTACGTACCACAAAAGCAAAGTCTTCATCAGAACTGTAGCGATTCCGGTGGCCACTGGAGTATACCGCCCTGTAATGACATTGACTGTAATACGTGGAAGACGCTTCTCCGGATCCTGGCGCCGGGATCCAGGGCTTGTAACGCATTGATGGCCGCGATCTCAAGACATAGTCTCACGGGGGGTGACGAAAATAATAAATGAAGAGGAAGAAATAAACATTTAATGTGTCGAACTTGTGCCAAAAATAAAAGGGTACAAAAGATAATAACAGAGCATCGCGGGCGTCGAAGTCGGCGTAACAGCAGAGTCGAACGCTGGGGCGAAAACTGATTGCGGCTCGCCACGCGGAGCCCCTTAGGCATATGCGTAAGCTTCTGGAATAATCGGCGTAGAATGTTCGACGCGTAGAACCATTCGGACCTCGAACAAGCAACAGGATTCTCGAATTTACCAGAAAACTAAATTGCAGGAATAACAAAATATGCGTCGCTCCCAGGATTCGAACCCTGGCTTTTCGCGTGGGAGGCAGGCACGATAACCGTTAGGCCCCGCAAGCGATGCCTCCTTTGCCAGCTGCACGCGCGGCACTACTCCCCCGTTTTAAAAAGTGCATCGCCCCGATGCAACACAAGACAAAGACAAATCAAATAAAAAGAACGGTAAACTAAAGAGTCATTTGGAGCACATAAAGTCCACAGTCTTATCGAGCGTAATACGGCTTCAGGCGCACGACCTGGACGACCTCAGGTCGCGGTGGGCGGCGTGATGATGTTCTTGTTCCGTCGGGCATCACCTCGTAGTTCAGATCTCCAAGTCGACGAAATACCTTGTAGGGTCCGAAATACCGTTTCAGGAGTTTCTCGCTGAGACCACGGCGGCGAATCGGTGTCCAGACCCATACCCTGTCTCCGGGCTGGAAGTGGACGTCCCGGCGACGAAGGTTGTACCGGGTAGCGTCGACACGTTGTTGATCTCCTATTCGGAGTCGGGCGAGCTGGCGAACTTCTTCGGCTCGTTGAGCAACCACTTGGGCGTCGGGGCTTCCATCGTCAGCTGGTTCTTGGGGTAGCATCGCGTCGAGCATGGTCGTTACTTTCCTGCCATGCACCAGCTGAAAGGGTGTCACCCCGGTGGTCTCTTGCACGGCCGTGTTGTAGGCAAATGTAACGAACGGCAACACCTCGTCCCATGTCTTGTGCTCCACGTCGACGTACATGGAGATCATGTCGGCGATGGTTTTGTTGAGTCTCTCTGTCAGCCCGTTGGTCTGCGGGTGGTACGCTGTAGTGCGCTGGTGGCTGGTGTGGCTGAGACGAAGGATTTCTTGGGTCATCTGTGCCATGAACGATGATCCGCGATCTGTAATAAGAACTTCGGGAGCGCCTTGTCGGAGGACGATGGACTCGATGAAAAACTTGGCGACTTC